CTGGTGAACTGTGGGTACTGTGCACCTGGTACGCTGGGCGCAGTGTACACCTGGTGCAGGGGTGGGCGAGTGGTTTTGAGTGCTGTTCACTCAGGTGGTACTCTGCCGCCCCCTGCTGGCAGGGAATTACATTGCGCTCCCTTACCCGCCTACAGGTAGAATTTGCTGCGCAAGGGACAAAATATGCCTGATCACATCCATCCCATCAGCTCCTCCGTCCAGCGCCCCTGGGTCTTCAAACCTGCAGAAGAGGAGGGAGGCGGGAGAGGGAGACGGGGTGAGAGAGAGGTCAGTACAGGGGACAGGCCTGCAGTCCTACTGCCCCTCCCACAGCAACACAGTGGTCAGTACACTGTGGATAGGCCTGCAGCCCTACTGCCCCTCCCACAGCGACACAGTGGTCAGTACACTGTGGATAGGCCTGCAGCCCTACTGCCCCTCCCACAGCGACACAGTGGTCAGTACAAGGGAATATCCTACAGCCCTATTGCCCCTCCCACAGCGACACAGTGGTCAGTACACTGTGGACAGGCCTACAGCGACACTGCCTGTCTCTGTGACACAGTGGTCAGTGGTCAGTGTAGAGAGTCGACCACTGACCCACACCAGCTCCTCACCTGAGGATCTCTGGCTCCAGGGCAGCCATGTCAGCAGAGAACACATAGGGAGGGTTGCTGACGATGAAGTCGAACAGACCACAATGACTGAGCACAGCCTGGGCATCTGTACAGATACAGAGAGACATTTCGTCAGCAGCAGAACATTTTCTCAGAAATGGGAGTGAACCAAACAAGAACACACCCACGCCACTGAATCAACAAAGAGCTCAAACCTGATACTCCTTTGCATGCTTCACAGAAACAGTGAGATGGAATATTCTACTAAACCAGACAGAAAAACACCAAGCTCATTAAAACCTGCTCCTGCTTCTGCGGGTGTATGCAGATACTCCTGCAACATTAGAGTATCATGAGTTTTTAGTTTTTAAGACCGTACAGAAAGGTGCACTGGGTCTCAGTTTCTAGGTATCGGCTGCACAGAGAAACACAGAGTACCGGAACATTTCGCCTCACCCCTCGCCCCATGACATGATGGTTTTGAGAGGTCTAAAGGCCACAGTGATTTTAGCAGGGGGAGATCTCACCCGTCATCACATCCAGCTCCATCAGGTCCAGACGGTCCTGCAGTCCCAGCCTGTAACACAGGACACAGGACAGTGAGCACATTACTGACCCCAACCCAGCACAGACCTACAGACTGTCTGAATCTGGACTGAGGATCGGAGTTTGTTAAAACACTTTAACGGTCAAACAGCGACCCTGGCTGAGAGGGAAATGATCAACTGGGACAGAACAGCCCTGTGTGACAGAGGTGACATGCACCTTCTCTCCTGCAGACGAGAGGAGGCCATGTGGCCCATCATGCTGGTTTGCTAGCCGCTAATCGACAGAAAAAGATCCTGTCTGTCCGTTTCGAAGCTGGGGTATCGACCACCTGCTGTTTTGTCATCTACAGAGAGAGACCGCTGGGCCTGTGTGAGACTTTTAGCAGTGAATCTATCCTCAGCTCGTGCCGCCAGCTGTTGGACCATCATGTCCCACAGCTGGCGCCATGACGCTGCACGTTGATAATTCTGTTGCACTGAGACAGGCCTTGTAGATCACTCTGGAGAAGTGGGGCAACTGCTTGGGGGGGGGGGGTCGGCCAGGAGCCAGGGCTGTCCATCACTCCTCTACCCTGCCTGCACTCACCTGTGTGCATTCTCTTCGGCCAGGGAGACCGCCGCAGGACTCCTGTCCACTGCCACTGCACGGGCCTGGGAGACAGAGGGAGGGCGTTAAACCACAAGCTGAATCTGGGAGGGAGAGAGAGACACGTTCAAGATGGAAATGTTCGTTTTGCTTGCTGGTTGTTTTTTTTTCCCCCTCGGGGGAGAATCGGTCAGCTAAACTGCTCCTTCCTCTCTCCGTGCGCGGCGGACCGCTGCCTCACCTGTGGCAGGCTCTTCAGCAGGCTCAGGGAGATCGCCCCCGAGCCGCAGCCCACCTCCAGGAACCTCAGACTGGGGCCCGAGGCCAGCACGGCCCCCCGCTGATCCGGCCCGCGGCTGTGCTGCAGGTCCGTCAGAACCAGGCCCACCAGCTCCTGCACACAGAGCCAGCGCATGTCAAGTCATCGGGGAAGATCGCAGCGATTCAGAACCCAGTAAACACGACAAGGTCTTTACAATCTCAGGTCAGAATGTTTGAACATCTGTGTCGAGGATCAGGAACAAATTCGGACTGTGACACAGATTTAAAAACAGATCTCTTCATCACTGGTGAAATGCTGCACCCTTGTGGACACAGAGATAAACACTTTTATGTGCACACCAAAATGAAGATAAGCTTTTACTGTCCCTTGAGGGAATTTTTTTATGGACACCCAGCACTCCTGTACATTTAAATAGAATGCAAAAAAAGAGAGAAGAAACACATTGCACATCACTCTGTTGCACATGTACAGTATAACACATAACAACATGTAACATTTATAACACATCACAAAACATATGGCACTCAAGTGGGTTGTAAGAGTCACAATTGTGTTTATCCTTGACATTTGTGTTGACAGCTTTAATGGATAGTGGAACACAGGAATGTTTGTATCTGTTTGACCTACATTTGGGAACCCTAAAACGTTTGCCAGAAGGCAGAAGTTGATATTCAGAGATGAGGATGTGAGAAGGATCTGATATAATTTTTACTGCCTGTTTGATTAGGGATTTTTCAGAGATTGTCTGCAGGGAGGGGTGCTGTTTCACTCCCATGACCTTCAGAGCTGTCTGGATGTGGCGGGTACTTTGCGATTTAAAATGAACTGATAGATTACCAAACCACACTGAAATACCATATCTGATCATGCTCTTGATTACAGCACGGTAGAAGAGGAGCATTACTTCCTGTCGAACCCCAAACACTCTTAGTCTTCGCAGAAAATGTAAACGCTGCTGAACTTTGGAGCAAACACTCTCAACATGAGTAGACCAACACATGTTACGGTCTATGTGTCCACCTAAGTACTTATATGAATCAACCCGAGTGATAAATTTGTTGTGGATTACTACCAGAGCTGTAGTGTTCAGCAACACCAGGCCCTGTCACCACAGAGTGGACACACAGCAGCTGAGCCAAAGCCACTTGGAGGAGAGCAAATAGATTACAAGTTGCTTAAGCAAGGCCTTGAGGTCAGCTGTAGAGTTTTAAAATCTACTCAAAACCTGTCAGGAAGCCAGTGCAGGGACTCCAGTACAGGAGTGATGTGATCAGTTGTTCATGTGTCAAGTGTCCATCCGATTCTAGCCTGTGAATGCTGAACATATTGTAGCCTATCTTCCCACCCCTCAGTCTTTCATTATACTCTGCGTTTCTGTGTAACAGTCCCTCGTTCTGTCCGTCGTACCTCGGTCTCAGGCCTGGGGATGAAGACAGGTGGCCTCATCTTCAGCGTCAGGTCTCTGAAGTCCCACTCCTCTATCACATACTGCACGGGCATCCTGTGGACACACACACTTTTACAGATCGACGCTCGTGAGGATCACACACTGACTCCCGTTCTGCCGAAATGAGCTTCTACGCAGGGTGAAAGCGGATCTGAAACAAATACTTTTGGCACTTCCAGAGTTGTAAGACCGAGCCAACTGGTGTATGCAATACATACCAGCTCATCACTCCCCACAAGGACTCAGGACTTCACCTGGTCCGCAGGAGTTACTGCCTGCCTTTGTAAAGATATTTTCTCATAATGGGTGGTAACAGTAATGCCCCCCCCCCCCTGCAAACACACGCACACACATGCCCTCACACTCACGCACGCAGTGGGATGAAGACTCAGCCTCTCACCTTCCTCACCTGCAGCCCCTCCGATCCCTCCCACGTACCTCTCCAGGCGCCGGGCACACAGGTCCCAGACCCGCTGCGTCTGCGCTTCTGTCAGCACCGCCGCCAGCCCGCGCCGAGCCAGGCTCGCCAGCTGTGGAGACCGACGGGGCAGGAGCGTGAGCCGGGCTTGGCATCGAGGGCGGCCCCCCACGGAGAGCTCTCGATCAGCTCCCAGCACGCCCCCCAGGACACGTGAACAGTATACCGAGACTCTCCTTCAGCTCATCTCCGCAGTAAACATGACCTTCCTGTTCCCCCGGCCTGCAGGACTCACAGTGTTGGCTCCCAGGACGTGCGCAACGATGTATTCGCTGGACAGCCGCGGCTCGGACACCCCCCTCTCCCCGAAGACCCCCTCCCAGAGATCGACGCACTCCTCCACGCTGGGACGTCCCGCAGAGGGCGGCGGGGGTCGTGGCGCCCTCCCCAGGCCTGACGCCGCACGCCGCGCCTGGACACAGAGAAGAGCACGGCTGACCTACCTGCTGGGCAAGACACTGTCCGGCCCGACCCGACCCGGTCACAGCTGCCCCTACCTGTCGGCTCACGGGTGCGCAGCGCAGGCAGAGCTTGTGCCCCAGGCGCCCACACATCTTCACGAGGGTCCCCATCGCCCAAAGGCGATCCGGCCCCATCAGTCCGGCCTGGCAAGGCAGTGTGCGTAAAGGAGGGCTATACAATTAGTTCTTTTTATTAGAAAGGCTGGGCCTGCAGAACAGTGTTAGTGTGGGCCTGCCCTACGTTAGACCTTTAGACCCAGCTGTTAATGGCTTAATTCGATCAGTTAGTGACTTGTCTCCAGATCTTTGGCCATGGAGAAGTGTCAGTTCGGGTCCGGATGAACTATACCAGGCCGAATCTGTCCCGCACCACAAGAGAGGAACTGGCCTGTCTGTAGTGCAGGGGTTCCCCATTCCTGCTGTGGGGTCTCAGCTGATGAACTGAAGTCAGAAGTTGCTTCATTTGACTCTTTGTACCCCCCCACACCGCAAAGCATCGGTCTAAAGTGTTGAAGGGCTGAAAACATTTTAAGAAGTAAAATTAATCGTATTTAGTTCTATTGTCGGTTTAGACATGACTGACAGCACGGCCGAGCAGGTCGGGGCTGTCCGACCTGGGACCCCTCCCTCCTACAGGAGCTTTGGTGCAGAAATCAATCTTTCGACTGTTTTTAAGTCGTTAAATCCGCACTCACACGACGTAACTCTGCAAACAGTAGCGAGGAAGAGAGACCCCTATCAACCTAAACGACTCCAGGCCCGCCACTTCTGCACATGTGGAGATAAAACAGTCTGAATTACGTCCTAAACCTTCTCTCTTTCAAAGTAAAAACTTCCTTCCTGTCAAGCAGCTGCCGGAAATCACCTCTGTAGTGACCCGGAAGTACTACTGTCGGGCCTGTTCCCTTCCAACTCGTCACACTCCGAGCCAAAGCAGCAGAGACGAACACTTTCTGTTTCTCATGCCCGACTACTGCTTTCCTCGGGTCTGAACTCAGAAGCGTGATTAGCATTAAGTTAAGGTTAAGAATAAATGCAATAGTAACAGCCACAATAATAATAATGATAATAATACATTCTCATTGATATTACTATATACATTTCTATTGATATTATGACTGGTATCATCATCATCAGTGGGAGGAGAAGAGAGGGAGATTAGAGCACCATCAGTCTAAAGGGGGTGTGAAAAGCCGAGCAAGCAGAATGAAGCTGGTTAGAAATTCTTTAGTTTAGATACACAGGTCATATTGGTTGCTCAGTGGTTAGCGTTGCTGCCTCGCAGTGCTGGTGCCCCGGGTTCGATGCCTTGGTTGCTGTCTGTGTGGAGTTTGCGTGTTCTTCCTGTGTCCAGTTTCCTCCCTCAGTCCAAAGGCATGCTGCTACATTAATGGGCTTCTAGGAAAACTGGCCCCGGTGTGAGTGTGTGTGTGTTTGCGTGTGTCCTGTGATGGACTGGTGTCCTGTGCAGGGTGTGTGTGTGTCTGTATCTGCCCTGTGATGACTGGTGTCCTGTCCAGGGTGTGTGTGTGTCTGTATCTGCCCTGTGATGACTGGTGTCCTGTCCAGGGTGTGTGTTCTGATGACTGGTGTCCTGTCCAGGGTGTACCCTGCCTCTTGCTTGCCAGAAACATGGCTGTGCCCCTGAACTTGAAGAAGTGGTGAGAAATGGCTGGTAGGATGTACACGAGCTTATACCCCCCTGTAGCTGGGATGGGCAGCTGTTCTTCTGCAGGGCTGGATCTCTGCAGGATTTACGGGATTTATGACTGAAGCTTTATAGAGCTGTATAAATAGATCGGCTGAATGAATTCATTAAAGGCCCTCGAGGGCTGTAACAAGAGCTCATCGTGAAGGGGGTTGTTCCCTGCACAGTATTATAGACATGAAGCCAAATGGCCTGGGAAGAGTCCTGTGTCTGAACAAAGAGATGTAAAGGTGTGTGTGCAAACTATTTCGAAATGTAAAAACCTGAAAGCGATGCGGACCTTATTATCTGTATTTCCCCTAAAACTTTTTTTCCACAAAGTGTATTTGTACTGTAATATGTATATAATCCCAAAGCCGAAGAAGGCCCCACAGCCGAAACGCTGTGTTTCTTTTCTTCTCTTTACAGCAGGGAATAAACTCCACTTGTTCCTTTGTATTGTAATATGTACCCCCTGACGATGCTATTGATAGGTTATATGTACTCTTGTTTTGTATTGTGTTTCCTTTTGTTGTTCAAATAAAAAAGAAAGGGGTGTTCCCATATCCCCCCCCCCCACAAAAAAAAATGTGTTGAAGTATTATACGACGTCTTGGGAGGGGAAAAAAATTATCCGCCCGCCCGCCTGCGCGCACGGCCGGGCTGGCGGCCCGCTAACCAGAGGAGCGCGTCGGCGGCGGCGGTAGTGGTGACGTGTCCTGCGGAGGGCTCTCTCCTTTTCCGAGACAGCGGCGAGCCGGGGCGCACAGACTGGGCTCAACTGACACCGGGACCGGGACCATCCACACGCCGGCTCCAGCATGGGCAGTGAGTACTGCGCGCCGGGGGCAAAGCCACCCTCCGCGGTTTGTTTGTTTGTGTGT